TTGTTATGTCCTGAATAGAGTTTTCAAATCTAAAAGTAAGAACTCTCCTTATGAGATATCAAAGAAAAGACAACCAACCTTGTCTTCTTTACGAACTTGAGGTTTCCTAGCTTATATCATAATTTTGTATCTGAAGCGAGTCAAACACACTAGTAGAGCTTATGAATGTGTATTCATTGGGTATGCAATAAACATTAAGAAATATAGGTTTTATGACTTAAGCTATAGTGATCATAGAATCAAATGATGTTGAATTCTATGAAGAAAATATTTCTCTAAATTGAGAAATATTGGGGGCACCGAATCGAATTACAATCTTGTGATAAGAAGCAACGACGAATTTGAAACAAAACTTTGACAAAGAAAATGAGTAAGAGTTGCTAAAGACTATAGGCCCGATTACACTATTTATACAGTAGAAGAAGATCTAATAAATCTTCAAGAAGCCTTGTCATCTCTGGATGCAAATGTGTGGCAAGAAGCTATTAACGATGAGATAGATTCTCTAAAACCTAATAGGACCTGACACTTAATAGACTTGCCTTCTAGATGCAAACCAATCATTTGTAAATGAGTTTTGAAAACAAAATTAAAACCTAATGGAATAGTTGATAAGTACAAGGCTTGCCTTGTATCCAAAGGTTTTAGGAAAAGAGGATATATAGATTTCTTTAATACTTTTTCTCCAGTCATTAGAGTTACATCTATTAGGGTACTGATTTCAATTGCTGCTATTTATAACTTAATAGTAACCCAAATGGATGTTGAAATAACCTTTTTAAAAGGTGACTTAGTAGAATAAATCTATATTGACCAATCAGAAGTGTTTGTGATTCATGGATAAGAAAACAAGGTTTGTAAGTTAGATAAGTCTTTGTACGGTATAAAATAAGCTCCAAAGTAATGGCATGAAAACGTTTGATAATGTAATGATATTGAATGGGCACAAAGTGAATGAAAGTGACAAATGTGTTTATTACAAATTTGAGAATCACATTTTCACTATCATATGTCTCTATGTAGACGATCTACTCATATTTGGATCAAACATTCAGGACATTAATGATGTGAAATCATTTTTATGCAATAACTTTGATATGAAAGACCTCAGAGAAGTGAGCACGATACTCAGTATCATGCTCATGAGATCCGGGAAAGGAATTTCTTTGGATCGACCACGCTATGTGGAATATATCTTAAAGAAATATAATCAAGTTAATTGTAAACCTGTGAGCATACCATATGATCCAAGCATAAAACTATTTAAGAATGCTAGTGAAAGTGCCAGACAACAGAATATACGAGCATCATTGGCAGTCTTAGTTATGCAACTAATTGTACTAGACTTACATATGTCGTAGGATTGTTCTGCATGATTACTAGCAGACCGAGTAATGAGCATTGTCAAGCCATTGAGCGAGTCATGTGGTACCTTAAAAGACTGTGAATCTCATTTTGTATTATCAGAGATATCCTGTTGTACTTGAAGGATAAAGTGATGCGGGTTGAAATACCTTATCAGATGATTCCAAGGCAATTAGTGGCCACATATTCAATAAAGATAGAGGAGCTATATCTTGGAAATTAAAGAAACAGACTATCCTGGCTCAGTTGACGATGGAGTAAGCAAGTTGGTTAAGATGCTTGCTAGGTGAGATCCCTTTATGGAAAAACTTATGCCAACTATGTTGATCCATTGTGATAGTACCACGACTATTGCAAAATTTGAGAACTGTTATTATAATGATAAAAGACATCTATTTAGAAGAAATCACATCATTGTTAGAGACTGTATCTCTAAAGGAGCTGTAAGAGTGGATCATGTACGCGCTGATAAAAATTTAGAAGATTCTTTGACAAAAGAATTAGCTAAAGAAAAAGTCTATAATACATCCAATAAGATGTGACTAATGCCTATAGAAAAATGAGTTGCTCATGATAGTAACCCAGTCTAAATTACTAGAGATCCCAAGAAATATGTTCAATGTGTAATAACATGTTATGAGTAATATGTTCTGATCATTTTAGATTAAATAGGAAAAGTATGGACCCTGAAGCGATAAAAGGATGAGATAATAGAAACTATTAATGAGATTTATACTATGCATGGGAGAGTATCTAAACTACATGAGTATTCTTGATAGACTCACTTATGTGATTGTGGAATTGAGGTCGGTTCTTATGAAATTTTGAGGAAAAAATCCTAGAGCATTCACTAAAACGTGATACATATGAAAGTCATTAAAGCACGAGATATTGGAATTCACCTTAAGAAAAAGTTGTGTGCGAGTTTGATATCTAAGATAGAGTTCAAGACAATTGTGTCACTCTTTTTGAATCGAAATCCTACTTGCTACATAAAAGTTCAAGTCGTAGACACCTTTGTTTATGCACAGTCTTTGAAACATTGGACGTTACTTATAAAACACTTTTTTTTTTAAAAAATTTAAGTGGGCGATTGTTGTAATATAATGTCAATATTTTAATATAGGGAGATGGATTTGAAAATTTTCTTAAGTCCTACATTCTATGTTATTTGAAAAAACTTCTTAGTCCCACATTGCTTAGGTGATATGTCTTAGTTAGCTCACTTTTTTATATAAGAAAAATCCATGTTTCATTCCAAAACAAACCAAAAAAATTCTTTTATTGAGTTTTTCCTTCCTCACTCTTATAACTCTGCATCTTTTAAATTATCAAAACACCAACTTCTCCCTCTTTCTTTCTACTCGTTGAATTTTCCGAGTACTTTCTTGAATTCTTTAAAGAACCATGTTAATTTCTCCTCGTTTGAGTTGAGAAATTATCAAGTATAATTTTTGGATTCTCTTTAGAGAATTATTCTAACCTCTCTTTGTTTGAGAAATCATTTTGAGTGGTCAAATGACCCTTATTGAATTTTCTTTGGAGAATTATTGAAATTTCTCTTGATTTGAGAAATTATTATGGTTGGTTGTTATTCCAGATATTACAAGCGATATTTATACCATATTTGAATGGTATTTTTACCATAAGAAGATGTATTTCTAGACCGATTATCTACCATGCAAATAGTAGTTGTAAAGTATAGAACTAGGCCGTTTTATTCTGGAGGCAACACGATAGTTTGTCTGCTTTGCATAATTTTAAGCAATATCGTGAAACGTTTTAAAAAGAGCAAACCGTTTCGTGACTCGTCTCAATAACGTTTTCTAGGGCTATTTTCAAAATCTAAAAAAACAACAACTCATCTTAATTTCATTTCTCTTCACTACAACTTATTATATTTTTTAAAAGAGAAATAATTAGAAAAATCGAAGAGATAACTAGTATAAAAAAAAATAAGGAGCTAACAACAAGAAGTGCACGAAAAAATCTACTAAATAAAAACAGACATAAGAAAAAACACAAGGTGCCAAGGAATGTTTTGGAGCAGCTCATATCTATTCAACATAATTTTTTGTGGCATGGGTCGAATGAGAAGAAGAAAATGGTTTGGGTGTCTTGGGAATCTATTTGTAAGACAAAGGAGAAGGGAGGTTTAGGTGTGAAGGACTTGAGATTGCTTAACTTGGCACTTGTGGCAAAATGGCTTTGGCGTATCCTCAAAGAACCGGATGCTATTTAGAGTGAGGTGTTGTGTGAAAAGTATGATGGTTATTCAAAGTTTATTTTATCTAGGGAGATTTATGAAGCTAAAAATTATGATTCTCAATGGTGGAAGGATCTTATGAGAATCAACTCTAGTATTCAACCTGTGTTATTTGGGGAATGTATTACAATTAGATTGGGGGATGGAGCTTCACTTCTGTTTTGGATAGCCAGATGAGTGGGTAATGATACTTTGAAAAATATGTTTTCGGGTTGTTCTTGTACGATTGTACTCGGAAGTGTATGGTAGAAGATATGGGTGTTTGGCATGGTTCGTTATGGTCGTGAAAGTGGAATTTCCAACAGTCGTATCCTTCTTCAAGTCTGGCTGATGAGTTTCATGATTTAATTGAGATGTTGCAGGATACTTCTCCTATTTTGAATGGTTCGGACACTGTCATGTGGCCTTTAGGTGCCTTAAACCTTTTTTCTGTCAAATCTTTTTATTCCAAGTTACAATCTGCTACAGGTGGAGTTATACAGAATGATGATTTTCTAGCGGCATAATTGCATTACATTTGGAAAGCTTTCATTCCGTCAAAGGCTAAACTGTTTGGTTGTAGACTATTGCGGGATAGATTGGCCACGAGGGGAACCTTCTTCGTCGTGTAATTTTGACAAATTTGCACGATATTGTCTGTGTTCTTTGTTTCCAACATTTGGAGGATGTTAGTCATTTATTCACCTCTTGTCTTAAGATTTTGGTTGTTTGACGTAAGGTTTACGTTTGGTTGGAAATTGAGGAAGTTCACGAAACTTTGATATCCACACATATTCTTTCCTAGAAATTAAGTTTTAATGGTAGGATTTCCAATTATTTAGCTTGTAGTCTGTGGTTGGTGGTGTGTTGGAATGATTGAAGGACTAGACATAATATTAGCATCAATAGAGTGACCAAGAAGACCCCTAACCCAACAAAAATATAAGCATCAATGAAGCATCATCAATGACAACTAAAAAGGCTAAGCAAAAATCCTAAAATACCACCCATTACAAAAAAAAATCGATAGACCTTTTACACCGTTCATAATAGGTGCACTTAACCTTACTCTTAATTCGATTGTAGTTTTATAACTTCCGTGCAATGATTATAAACGATGAAAAATAAAATGGATCATTGAACTTTAAAAAATTAATAAATATTTTGAGAGATATTGAAATATAAATAAATAAGATGCCCTTTATTTGAAAATAAAAAATACATAATACAACATGAAACTAAAGATTCAAATAACAATAGATATTCAGTCCTAATTAAATCCCATAAATGAAACTAGTTAAGACTGTGTGCTTTATTTGAAAATGATAAAAACAACATGAAAAATAAATATTCATAATGGCATCTCTTAAGGCGGATCTAAGCCATCAGATTAAAAAAATCCAGAGGGTCCATATCCTCCACTTCCACCCATATTGTTGAAACCAAACAAATGAGATTGCATCATAGGATTCTGAAAAAATTGTTGTTGAAACATTTGAGCCTGTTGAGGATTTGTCGGGTGATGGATTGGCATGTTAGAATTGGAACTATTTCCAACAAAAAATGGAATAGTTTGAGTAGGTGCACCTTGAATTACAAGCCTATCAGCATGTTGTGCAACAAGTTTCTTAAGTTCATCCAACGCCTTCTTGAATAATTCAAGTTGAGCCTTATTCATCCCATCAATCGGACAAGCCCACCAAAACTGAGCCTCAGTTGCCTTGCGCAACTGGCTCAGCTCATCACCACGCTTCTTCTCAATGTCCAACTTATTGTTGATTTGAGTCAGCTGGTTATTGAGATCTCGCACATTGGCGCTACGGTGAGCCTCAATGAATTGCATGGTGCCATTGTTTTGGGGTGGAACCCGTGATAAATAACGATCTATGACCGTATCAACATGTGGGTGACCAAAGGAAAACACCTTCTCACCAGGTGAGAATACAACAAGAGCAACATCAGCACCACAGAGTGTGCAAAGCTCACTGGCTTTCTTGAAGAGTCCACTGCGGCGCTTCGAGAAAGTCACTTGCAAGTTGCTCTCATTGCTCATCTTTTTCATCTCAATCTTTTGGCGACCACGACTTTTCCTTCCAGTTGACATGGTTGAAACTAAAAAAACAAAAGAGAAAAGAAAATGATAATTATATTTGGAACTTAAAACTAAGAAATGGTACATTATAATTGAGTGAGAAAAGCTCTTTTTATAGCCAAATTTCAAGTAAATAAAATTTCACTAGAATTTGAATTTGGCTAAAAAATTCAGAACCCGGTTTTTTTTCAAACATTACATTAAAAATATTTCATGTATTGAGAGATTCACATGAAATCTCTTTTTACATTGTTTATAAGGTAGAAAATTCAATGTTTGAAAAATAGTACTCTTTTACCATTTTTATATATTTTAACTTATTCAGCACATATTGGATAAACGTAGTATGATAACTCAGGAACTTACAATAAATATGTTTATATTACTGTCATTATACAACTAACAATAATAATAATAAATCAAGAGTTCAATACATTATTTAGAATGTTACTACTTAATCTATTCTCACGGTTAATTTGATTTTTTATAGGGTTGGTGTATTTTCATTGTACTTTCTTCCTATAACTTTTTTATAGGGTTGGTGTATTTTCATTGTACTTTTTCCTATAATTTTCATTGTACTTTAAAATAATTATTTTATATTATAAAATGAAAAAGTTTCAAGATAAAAAATACTTGTTTTTTAAAAATTTTCTAAAATATAAATTCAAGTTACTTATCTTTTAATATTATAATATAAAAATCTTCTATTAAAAATGGTAAAATTAGTGTATTGAACGCGCGGTTCTACAATATTAATATAACGGCCAACGGTAATTTAAAAATTTTCTATTAAAAATGGTAAAATTATTGTATTGAGCGCGCGGTTCTATAGATGATAATGCGCGGCAAAAAGAGTGAAAATCATTTAAAAATAAAATACGCGGCAAAAGAATGACAATTATTTTAAATGTAATGCGCGGGAAAAAGAGTGAAATTATTTTAAAATGTTATAATTTTTTGTATTTATTTGTGTTAAACATTTTACTATTTAATATCTTAAATATTTTTAAATATATAATAAATGTCGTTTGTGTCATTTCTTATCTAATTTCTAAATGCTTAAATGTAAATGTGGTTTCTTTTCAAAATGCAATGCATTAGGTAACTTATAATCTTAATAGCATAAATACTAGTAATATATTCTGTCACTCACTTTTCAATAATTTCCTATAGTTGATATATTTGGTTAGATTTATTTAATTGTCACTTTTAAAAAATATATTATTATTTTCATTATTACTAAATAATATATAATTTTATTAAACATAAAATAGCTGTCAATGATAATATAAGTAATTTCTATTTTGGCTACCTATTTTAATATAAGAATAGGTGATTTAATTTAATTTAATACAGGCCTATTTTGAAGACAATGGACGGTAGAAGAGTAAAACTTAATTTAATAAAGGCCTCTATTTTTTATATTTATTTGGTGCTAAGCAATTCAAAATTTATTTTTATACATTTTCTTAATATGTAATGGCTGGTAAAATGTAATGGGTTATGAAAGGAGGAGTGATAGAAACAAAAATTGTTTCTGTAAAAATTAAAAGTCTGACCTTCTAACATCGAAGAAGAATTTTAAATCCTTCTAGAAACAGCTATAAAATAGATATTTGTATTATCTTAATTAATAATAATGTTTATCTTTTTCAATTCTTAAAAAAATAGTTTGAATCTGGTTGTCATTTTTATAAAATATTATTATAATTATTAAAATTATGATACACATTTATTTAGTAAATTATAATATATTTTAATTAAAAAGGAAAAGTATAATTTTGAAATAAATTAATTTCTTAAAGTAATATTTTTATTTAATTTAATCTATTCTGATAAAATATTCTATTTATTAATTTATTATATTACATGTAAGAAATCATTTTATTTATTATCTGCAATATGTAGCCTTATGGTAAGGATTTGATTTTTTAACTTGAAGGGATATGACTGTTAGTAAAATAACTATTAATATCACCGTTATCATATAAATTTCCCCTAACTTATATTTTAAATATTTTGTTTGTTTTTGCAAATAATTAAATATGGTTTATTATTGTCTATGTTTTACTCAATGCAAATGACATATAAGCCGGGGCCTTGATTTATTAAAATCTGTATATATAATTTCCAAACAAATAACTTTTTTTATATAAATAAATAGTTGTGCTCATTCTTAAGAAAAATAATAATACTTAATCTGTTGTTAACCTTGCTAGCTGGTTAGTTAGTTTGCCAAATAAAAGATTGATAAGCTAGTTCATAAGATGCACTAATAAAAGAATGTACTAAGTCAAAATAATGAAATTGGTATGACACTTTTTTTTAGGGAACAAAAAACTAAATATGATATAACTCGTCCCACAAAGGCCACATTCTAACTATCAAAGTATGTTACAAAGTATACACAATTGTTGGAAAATTCTACAATAAATAGTATGTTACAAATTATACAAAATTGTTGGAAAATTCTACAATAAATAGAAATATACAATTTTTTTTTATAAACAAAGTGATTGTATCAACGTAAGTGTAAGTATAAGAGGTACTCAACCCGAATACACAAGAAAGAGAATAGCATAATTATCTCATAATTCTTGCATGATTTAACATCTAATTAGGTTTAAAAGTAAAAGATTGATCCTTCGATCTAGGAATAAACCAATCTCAAGTTAATGATTTTGCCAGAAGAACAATCTCATGAGACATTTTCATGTCACCATTAAACACCTAATCATATCTAATTAACCAAACAACCCTCACCACATTTAATCCAATAAGGATCTTACAATTTCTCTTAACTCTCACCTGCATTACCGAATCGAACAATAACAAATGAGTGAAAAGTCAAAAGAACTAAAATTATTAACCCTTACCCAATCAAAACAAATGACCAAAACTCAGCCACTACAATCCAATCAACAAAAAGATGACAATGAGACTCTTCAGCACCAAGGTATCACAGACAAACAATATTGTGATCACCGCAAATGACTCCTATTTTAGAAAGCTCGTCTCTCATTTGCAACCTATTTAGGAGCAGCCTCCACGCAAACACCTATACTTTTAAGGGCATATTGGATTTCTAAACACACTTCAAAGCCATCTTGAAATCATTACATGGATTAAAATTCTAACTCGCACAAGAAAACAGTCTCGAGTACGCAAATTTTCCACGTGGATCACTCCACCAAACAAATTGGTCAGAAATAGCAGAGATAGGGACAATGATCTGGAGAATGGTGTTGACAAAATTCAGTTCAGAATCTACTAAACTCAACAGAACATACTGATTTGCGCTAACAAACCATGACCAAGAATTCTGATACCAACAGCTAGCTTCGCAAGCCCCCACTCTTGGATTTTGCAGACGGTCAAACAACTCCAAAAATTGCCTATACAGAGGTTGTGCTTCGATCTAGAAGTCCCTTCAAAAGTTGATGTCTTTACCATTTCTAACCTTACACAAAAGACTCTTACCAAACCAGTTATTTTCAGCGCCCTAAGAACTCAGTAGAATCTGTAATTTTCTCTATCATATAGAAGATTTTGAAGAAATGCCAAAACCAAAAATGTCTCAAATTTCATTCTTGATGTTTTCATATTTAAAAGTAAGGACTTTGCGCCAAAGCAAATCCACCTCAAATAAAATCCGCAGGCCCATTTACTCATCAATTCTCTATTGAATAAATCACAATCCTTAACGTCAATCCCACTTTCTTCCTTCGTTATACAAATATTAGACCACACCACCCAATTGATCGTCCTAATATTTTTTCTCCATTCCACAAGAAATCCCTTTGAATGTTTATAAACTCTTGAATAACCACTTTCGGCGCTTTGTAGAAAGAGAACGAGAAAAGAGGAATCGAGTTTAGCACTTAATTAAGCAAAGTTACTCTTCCACCAAGAGAAAGTGACTTTCCTTTCCATGAGGTCAGCCTATTCCTAACCTTTTATAAAACCAAAGATCAAGAGGAAATTTTCCTAGGACTGCAACCAATTAAGATACCAAGGAAGTTAAAAGGAAAGGGACTCACATCACATGATAGGTAATTAGAGATTGCTAGCAAAAACTTCAGCTTAACATTAAAACCAGTGACCTTACTTTTAGTAATGTTTATGGATAAACCTGCACAGTGCTTAAAACCACAAAGAAAAACTTTTAACGTTCATATATTATCCCAGGAAGGTTGACCTGAAATAATTGTGTCATCAGTAAATTGAAGGAGGTTAATATGAAGGTTATCAGACAGAGCAAAAGGTTGAAAGTGATGGTTTGACACGCATTCCATATTAAACATGCTAGCCCGCCAGCCACCAAGATGAAAAGAAAAAGGGAAAGAGGATCCCCTTGACGAAGAACTCTCCTAGCTTGAAAATTAATCGTTGGGCTACCATTTATCATCACCAAAAAGGAAGAAGAAAAAACACAAGCTTCAATCCATCTCAACCACCTATCGCCAAAATTCATTTGTTTCAAAACATATAACAGATGATCCCATGAAATAGAGCCAAACGCCTATTTTCAAGTTTACTTTAAAAAGAAATAGAGCTTTATTTTTCCTCATAGCATAGTCAACAACCTCATTCAACACCATAACAACATCGAACAAACCTCTATTAGGGACAAAAGCATATTGACTGATGGAGACAAGCTTCTCCAAAACACCTTTTAAAATAGCCTCCAATACATCATTCACCAGATGGAAAAGAGGATTTTAACTTAATGAGTTCAACCTATATAAGACTTTTAATTTGAATAGCACAAGATGAATAAACATTCACAAAGTATATAAGCAAGCATTTCCATAAACCCGATTTCCTATAAACCCTTCCCCCTCAAAACTAAGCAAAGAATCAAACAAATCTGGTTTCAACAAGATGATCACACCTCTTGACCTGCCAATTGTGTTTTTTAGTGCTCTTTAAAAACTTCATTGTTTCCCAAATCTCTTGAGTCACTGAATTCATCATTCTTTGAATCTTCATTTCTTGTGACAATCCTT